AAAAAGAAAAATATTTGTTTTAGTTTCTTTTGATTTTTAGAAGCTATTTATTTTTGTTTATATATTTTTTTCTTTTTTAATCTTTATTTACTTTTAGTATAGCTTTAAAAAGAAATACATATATATATTTTTTGATTTAATTTGATTTTTAGAAAACTTATTGCTGAAACACCTCGTTAGCAGATCTTTTAATTGGTCTTTCGAAAGCCATAAAAGAGCTTTCTAGTTAGTTGCCAGAATAGACTTGTCAGTTTTCAGTCGAGTATATACGCTGCTAAATCGGCAGTCCCGATCATAATATTATCGGTAACGCCATGTATTAAAGAGAAAAAAGATGTGTGTGTGTCGAGAAATTCTGCGTCAAAATATGACATTGTGGAACCTACCTTAATCTTCAGTGTGGAATGGATATTTAACACTCGCGTTCTTATGAGAAATATAATTGTTTGTTTATCTATTTCAGAATTTATCAATCAAAAAGTAAAAAACGTAGAAAAAGTATTATATGCAAGTCTACTTTCAGGCATTGTAGCTATTGTACATTTTTTCTTTTTTTTTGTTACCATCGTCGTCCAAAAAGCCATCTAAATGTACATAATATAAATATAAATTTCAAATACATAAGAACACAAAAAAAAGAACACATTGCCTTGGAAAACATAAAAATATGAAATAAAACCAAGAAACTATAAGAAAATCTTAATAAATATTACGCCACAAAAGTCCTTAAAGCACAATTATAGTAAGGAGTTTCGAAAACTCTATTTGTAACTTTTAATTTAGTAACGCAAAATAAGTTGATATTTTTTTTTCTCAAAACGCATATGTACATACTACATAAAAAAATTTAATGCCACAACAGCGCGCTTAGTCATAGATAAAACAGAGTTAATGCTAAAACTACAAGGATTCAAAAGTACAACCCCACATTAAGTATTTCAGGTGGTCAGCGCTTTCCACGTTTTCAGCTTAAAGCTGAGGAAAGCGCTAAACAAATGAAAAATGAAATCAAGTTAACGTAACTTTGTTTGCATACCTTCGTGTCGCCATAATTCTACCGTTGTAATATTAAAAATCCCGCCATAAAAACATTTTGCTAGAAAATTCGATTTTTAACGGCACTTGGATTATCAGCTTGTGTGCCTTTCCTAATGATTTTCTTTTTTTTTTAGCTGCATAATGCAGATTTCCATACGTAAATACATGTATAAAGTATAAAAAAAATTCACACATATGCATATACATACATACACACATAGTAATGTTAACTGTTTTAGCGTTGTAAGCGTGTTTTTTCTCGATATACTATAATTTCGCAACTAAAAATTGCTTATAAAATTATGTTAATGTGAATAAAATACTTATAAAACAAAATAAAACTAAAAAATGCATAAAAATTGTCACTGGTACAATTAAACGAAATATACGAATAACGGAACTGTGAATTTATTTGTAATCGGTTTAATTTACTACATAATTAACTGTCATACAAAAATTAAATGAAATAAAATTTTTGTTTAAATAAAAATAAAGGTTTTCAAGTGTTTAATTTTTGGTTGGAGATGAAGCTTTCAAGCAGAAACTTTTTTTTAATTTAATTTTTTTTCTATACTAGGATTTTGGTCGGAGCAGGCATCAAAACTGTGCCCTCGCGATTGGGGTTGACAAAGGGAAAACCATAATAGTTATTGCAGAGGTTTAAATTTCAACGTATGTACATACATTAGGGTGCGTCACTCTCCGAACTAAAAAAAGGTACTGTTTTTCCATCGGAAATACAAAATTTATTAGGTATATTGTAAGACTTCCGCCAAAATATTTTAAGATTTGAGTAAGCTGGAAGTATGAAAATACCACAAAAAGCGTGTTTTTTCTTAATAAATAAAATTAGTTTTTACAAATACTTTTTTCTAAAAAATCGCTTCAGATGATAGAAGAGTTTAAGTTTTAAGGGTCTTCATAAAGATCAAAGTATCAACGTAATCAAAATAATGAGATTTTTGGAGGTATTTTCAAATCGGTCTCGCTTACGTAAATCTTAATATTTTACCAAAAATTTTTTCAAATTTTTCAATAGAAGTTCACTGTATTGTACCAATCGTGTAACTACAAAAAACAATTACTTCTCAATTTTTTTTATTTTTTACCAATAGCCCAATATAAAAAATGTATAAATCTGTACAAATGTACCGATCGTGTGACACTGCCTTTAAATTCATCTTCTCGTTAAATATCGTTATCGCCGTTTCCGATAGATTTGACGGGCTGTCAAAGCACCCGTTAACTTTAAGAGGAAAACGTTCCTTAAAATATAATAAATTGAATAACTACAGTGGAAAAACAGTATTTTTTTGTTATTGTAACAGCATAAATATTCACCAAAGAGTTTTTAATGGACTTTCCTTGGGCCATACATTATTATGGGTCGTTCCGATCACGTAAACCCGACTGTCGTGGGAACGTCATTTTTTTCGTAATGCATCCTAATGTACCTGCATACATATGTAACAAAACAATCTGGAACATCTTTCTCAGGCTGACGCCCTGCATTGGTATAGAGGTCTCGAAAACTTCATACGGAATCGTGGCAGTGGTTCCGAGCCTTACTTCGCTGTAGAACCCAATACTACTCATTAAGGAAGAGCTCAAAAGAAGAGGAACGCATTGCGGGAGTTTATATAATTGGCGTAGCTCATTAGGGCTGCACCAGACAAAGAGCTCACGAGCTACATATACTAAATATAATCAGCCTCATTGCGAGTGTCGTGTCGAATGCAAGTCCTTTTTCGAAAGTCGAGTCGTATCGAAAAGTACATAGTATTGCCTAAAAATACGATTCGACTAGTGCATTAAAACGGGAAAACTTGGCAGCACTGGATAGTTTTCAACAGTTTTCGTCGTCTACTTATTTAAGCACGACAATAGGCAATGCCAATCTAGTTGGATCGTGAGTTTTAGTCTAATTTACGACGTACCTAATGGGACTGAATATAAAGAGATTCCAATATCTAATCAGCCACTCAAAAGACTAACTTGGAATCATTCCCACGACAGCCGGTTCTACATACCGGAATGACTCGGGTTTTACCCGACAAAGGGCTGTTGTTTCGGTAGGCGAAATATCTTAAAGGTTGTTCGTCCATGAGGCAACATCTGCTCTGCTTTCTTCTGCTCAGGGTTACCGTCGAGTCGTACACTGGACCAGAAACCTACACCTGCTGCGCATCCCAAAGACGATTACACCCAAACTTTACTTTAGTCTGGTGCAATTCCTGCAACGGATAGAGTCACCTCCGCACCTGCCTAGGTCTTAGAACTCACCAGCAGTGGACAACGTAATTTGTTGCGGCTACTTCAGTGACACACGCCACCTATCGGCGCCGCCATATACCCCACCGGCTCACCGGAGTTGACCTGTGCAACGCAACCACAACACGATCACCCCCCAACATAACACAAACACAGACAAGCCAGACAGCACAGATACAACTACATCCCCATCTACACTCCGCCACAACGCTTGAGCAAAGACCAACTAACAGCTTCGCAGGTGCCAGTTTAAGATATGTTAAGAATCTTCTTAGGTCCCTGTTGCGGTATTGCACAACCGCAAATACCAAAACAAGACATCGCCTTCAACAGCAGCATACACAACAAGTGCCCGACAGGCAACACCTCCCGTCACTAATACCCCGTGTTAGGATCAGTCCCCCAAGGCACACGAAGATATTACAATTCTCTTGTAACGGACTCCAGCGCAAGATTGAGGAAATAACAGTATTCGTGGTTCAGGCTAGAATATTGAAAGCTGCGGTCCAAGAGACGAAGCTGCTGGGAAGGCGAAAGCCTCCAAGCCATTGGACCCGAAGGAATTTGCATGCTGCATGAATTGGGTCCTGCGGGCGTAGATTATCTCACCGAGGTAATCAATCTGTTCATGACCACTCTCATGCTTAAACCGGCCAACAAATGAGAATCTTTCGACCTGGTATCGAGGCCTTGCTACTCCCTCATTATACGCACCACCTGACCCCCTGCGAAGTATCAGCATGGATTCCGTAAAGTGCTCAGCGCAACAACCGTACTTCTAAACGCCTAAACCAAAACCGCCCCTGTGAGAGAACAGTTCTGGTAGCGTTGGACCTGTCAAAGGCGTTGACACCGTCAGCCACTCCACGCTACAAGAAGACATTGAGGATTCTTCTCTGTCACAGAGGTGGTCAGCGAATTATATGAGTGGTCGTCATTCGTCATTAATTTCTAGAGATAAAACCCACAGGGTAGTTTCCTTTCCCCGTTTCGGTTTAATTTCTATATTTCGAAGCTCCCCAGGCAACAGGGGGCGCCTCTATTATCTCTTATGATGACGACTGCTCGATAATGACGTCCGGAAATTGATTTGATGCCTTGTGCACGAAAGCGAACATCGGTAAGATCACAGAGATTTCTCGCTAGATGGCACAGGAGTCGAGATATTTGGAAAACCCCTATTTATGGTCTGATTTATAGCCCGAACACAATGGTAACGACGAGCGACCACAGCTTTCAAATTATTTACCACGTATTCTTATGTAGAAAATTGTTTTGGCGACGACAGAGCTACGCAACGCCTGTGGTTGTGGCCAGATTTGATATATTTCTATTTTTCCAACGACAGCTAAGCTTCTTCTTCTTCTTTTATGTCAAACTCATACAAATTCATGAAGTCGCTGCCGCGTTCAAAAAATTCATGTCGCCATCGACAAAGCGCCTAGCTCGTCGTTTTCAATGTGTTCAGCACATTAGTTCAAATTTAGCAAGCTTGGTTTAAAAATATGTTTTTCACCATTAACTTATTTAAATTAAGTTATTTTGCATTATTTCATTGTTTTAAATCGCATTTTACTTTGTTTTTATTTCTTAAGCCCAGTTTTAAATTCCATTTATCTCAGTTATTTTTCCAATGCAGGGCTAACGTTGAACTACCTTCCAATGCAACCCTACATTCCAAATTGTAGTGATCGCGCAAAGGTAACACATTTTTGTTGATTGTCAATTTGTGCAATTATTTTTATACAAATTTGTCGCGAATCTTTTGTTTAAATTTCAAAGCTTCTTAAATTCTTTGGAAAATAGGAGAATGTGTTTATAAGTTCACAAAACAATCGAAATCATTGCATAAAAATTCCAATGCGTAGAAGCAACAGGTTTGCCTGCATACCAGAGTGACGACAACGTAGGCAAGGTTGCGCATCAGTAGGGCAACAAAAGCAGGGAGTTAGCAGCAGCACAACAACAACACATTATTAACCACAATAACAACAGCAAAACACACCTTACAATCTTACAACGTTTACATTGGCCAAATTATTCGAGACTGGTGACGGTGGTAACCGCGGGAACGACGGCAACGTCTAAACCTATGCTAGTGGCGCTGTGCCGTTTGTTGGCTATACATAACTTTGGAATAGCATTAGCATTAACGAATGTTGGGAGTGCAACTGGGAGTTGTGGTTTGTTAAATTCCCGTTGTGCATAAATTCAATGAGAACTTGGCATGCGCTTGGAGTGTAGAGAGCTGGCATGTGCAGTGAAGTAAGTCGCCCAGCGATAAATGATGTGAGAAAATTTGCGAAAACGAAAAAACAAAAATACATACAACACAACTTATAAGTGCTATCTGCTTGGTGTGCAGCGGTAATAGCTGCAGTCACTTGCAATGCTAACGCTCCTCGGTGAGTGTCATCTGTGGAGCATACGCGATGAGGTGCGCATCAAATCCACCGATCTGGGCGCCTTCCGCTACACACGCAATCGGGAGGCACAGCAGCAGAATACTGAGTTGACGGCGCTGGCCAAGCGTGACTACATCGAGAGGCGCAACGGTGTAACGGTGCTGAAGAATAGTCGCAAGGCGCCAGGACGCTTAAAGGATAATATCAAGCGTTTAGAGGAATTGCTGCGCATCTATAAAATCGTGCATTCAGAATGGCGAGACGCAGCGCAGGTGCTACTCCTCTTTGCCAATGGTATTATAGCGCATATTTGCGTGGACGCGGCCACAGGTGATATACTGCGTATGGTTTATGAAAAGTACTTCGTCGGCAAGTTGGCGTCGGAAGTTATCACTGACGGTAAGTGAACAAATGTAGAAATGTCACAAGTTGCAGGTTAGCTGTCGCAGATAGTATGTAGGTACATACTTGTTTAGATGGCTGTGCGCAATCGCTAGCGCTGGCTGTGTTTTGGTGCGCGCACAGTGTTAGAGAGAAATTTGCATTTGTGCATACTCATGCGCATGCGCATGCGCGCATTCACACAGTTTCACATGCAATTAATGTTAATTAATTTCGCTACAACTTTGCTGTGTTTTGTTTATTTTTTCGTTCCCTCTACATATGTACATATGTATGTATGTACCTATGCATAAATCTTTTTTGCTTTGCAGTTAGTAATTTGTTTTATTGTTTTCTATCTGCTGTCTGTTGTAGCATTTTTCACACGTTCCCACATCGTCTTGGCCTACAACACGAACCAATTGACGGTGGTGCATTTGCAGAAACCGAATGCACGGCCACAAGGGCCTGAGAAAATTAGCAATATGGATCCGCGAATATTTCATGTGATAATACCGGGACCATCAGAGCGAAAATTGTCACGGCATCTAACAGTGAATAGTAGTGCAGATTTATTTGTTATATGGACGAAATCCTCACAGAATGAAGTATACCCATGGCGGCCGACGATACGTGATCAGGATCGAGCGAATATACATGTCTTCAAGTTGAAGGGGTGAGTAGGAAGATGGAAGGATCGGTTATCGTTTTTTGTCTCTTACAAAATGTTACTATTAAAGCAGTTCCGCTAAACGTTTCATTGAAACTAAAGTATCTGTAAAAACATTAATAATTTCACTTTGATTTAGCTATAAATATTTTTATTTTATTTACTTTTATGCCTTTTCCCTTTCCAGCATACAAATAGAATCCGTTTCATATTGTTGGTCAGAGAATGATCCCCTCTCAGTGGATTTTCTACGTTCAGCCGAAAGTCAAATACTCACCGTAGAACAAAAAGTGTCACGAAAAGGTGAAATATCTGCCGAAGTATGTACATACGAAATTATCTCGGGTAAAATGCAACGCGCCACAGTCACGTCAATTACAATGGGAACGCAAATATGCTGTCATGCCTTCAGTCCCGACCAAGAGAAGCTATTTTTGGGATCGATTGATCGTAAACTTTGTCTACACGATCTGGTGCAGCAAGTGACGAAAGTGGCCTCTCAAATTGATATTGTATGTTTACTATTTTCCACAAAGAAATACATACATATAAGTTTTAAATAAACCATTTCAAAATCATTTATCTTTTAGATACCCACGCAATGTGCCTGGCACTCCGATAGCAGTATTGTTATGGTTGCTAATGAGCGTGCACAATTTCAATGTTTTGACCTCGCCCTAACACCGGTGGGCAATCAGTTGCAGAGCGAAGATGTGACACCTCTAAATTTATTGGATCTTTCACACTATTTCACCATACAACCAACGCTGCTGCGCATTGCTTTCAGTCACAAGCCTGATTTATCACACCATTCGTTGCCTTATGTGCAAACAGATTGCTTGCTGCTGTTGCACTTCGAAAATGGCCCATTGGGTTGTATGCGACTTTTTGCAGGCGCCGGCATGCGTGGCGACATACACAATTCAGGCCTGACCGCTGATGTTTTAATTGACAAATATTTGTCGCTAAATCAACTGGAGAAAGCGGTGAATTTGCTAATGGCGCTCAACTGGGAAACTTATGGTGCGATGTGTTTGATATCGCTGCACAAAATTGCTAATCATGTTTTGTATCGCGGCGAGGCGAAGCGTACGCGCGTGGAATTGCTGGGAAAAGCGCTGAAGACATTCACCGATGCACTTTCAGAAGAGACAAAGGATGAGTTTAGCGATCAAGTTTTTGATTTGAAAAGACGGTTTTTCTTTTATCTGCTGCGGTATGTTAAAAACTTAATGAAATTTAACACTTTTGTAGTTAATACACTTTTTTTGTAGGAAACAAATGTTTGCAGAAGCGTTCGAAGTCGCTGAGGATATTGAAGATTATGATCTCTTTATGGATCTCTTCAATGTGACGAAATCGAATGCCAATTTAATCGAATTTTCAGCCGCCGCCTTTACTCAAGCTGCTACGATACTCCATGAGGAGGAAGGCCATGGCAACGGCGTGCGTGGCATGCCAACTAGTAATCTAAGTTTGATTGTTGATTATCGCTCAGAATCTGCCTGTTCCCAATCAACTTATTCCGACTTACAAATAGTGCAAAGAAAGAAAGTTCAACGCAGCAACTACGCAAAAGAACATTTAAAGAACTATGTGCCACCCTTGCCATCATTTAAATCAAAAATATTCAGTGCCGAAATGATAAAAATAAATATTCCAAAGCCAGAGCTGCGCATGGAGAATACGCAAGATATATTGCGCACCCGGCCGCCACCACCACCGCCCCCACTGCCATCGCTGCGGAGCTTAAAAATTTCACAAAATGCAACAAGTGCGGCAGTAGCGGTAAGCAGTACACTGGCTGAGCTTTCAATGAAGAGTGGCAGTGATTTAAATAATACTGCAATGGGTGAGTATGGGGTTTTTAGAAAATATGTACATATATTAAAAAAATATATATATTTTGAGCTATAATTAAACTCTCCATTTGCTATTTTTAAGTACACGTCGCTGCGCCATCCGTCACTCTGCTACCCTGGCAACAACAACTGCCTGCGGATGCCAAGACGCCAAACAGTATGCCAGCACATACCACCACCGCCATGCTTCCGCGAATACCTACCACCAGCAGCAACACACACGCGCAAACACATTTGCCAAACACCGCTGCGACTTTTGTGCACCATGCTTCACCCGCAGTGGTGGCAGAAAACTCTTTGCCATTACCACAAAAGCATGTGCCAATAGTGCAACCAGCAGCGCTTACCGCTTCAACTACTGGAAATGTTAGCGCGCTGCAATCAGGCGTTTACAAACCAAAATATTATCAACACCCTTTAGTGTCTGGCACAATACCACCTACTTTGGTGGCGACGAGTGAAGAGCATCAAAAGCGTCTGCTCCAAAAGAAGCCCACAGCATCCATTCTTTCGAACAGTTCAACACAACAACAGCAACAAAATGGTGGTACTATGATTAATGGTGGCAATGGCACACCACTTGCAAATGGTATGCATAAGGAGCTGCACAGTGGCGGTGGGAATGGTGGTCGCAATGCTGCTGGTGAGAAGAATAAGGTGAAGTTCTCTGACACGGTGCAGGTCGCTGTAGTGCCGGTAAGCGTGAGGGGGAAACTTAAAAATTAGGAAAATGTTGAGTTTTAATTTTTCTGACTTTG